CCTGGTCACTAATTACAATCTTATCTTCTATATCTGAAATCCTGTCCTCACATTGGTTCATCCTGCTGTGTAGACTTTCAATGGAGTTTTTAATCTCCTGGAAATCTGTTTGCATGTCTTTTATGGATTCCATTTGTTTCCTATGTTGAGATTCCATCATGTTCCTCAGCTCCTCTCTAGATTTATTAATCATGTCTTGCACTATGGGTACAATCTCGGCTGTTATTTGAGAAATTATTTCTGATTTCATTTTTTCCAGATCCTCTTTTGTTGCCAGCTCAGGGAGGTTGAGTATCAGAGTGTTTCATCTCATTTCCCATTGGGGTTGCTGTAGGTGATCTGGATGTCTTGTTTTGAGGCTTGTTTACGTGTCTTCTTATTTGGAGGGTGGGGATGCTGTTGGCATGCACGTGGCTCACCTCCTCTGTGGTGGGAGCAGCGCTACGGTGGCCCTGAAGCCTCTGCCTCTGTGGTGGGAGTAGTGGTACATTGGCCCAGAAGCCTCCTCCTTTGTGCTTGGAGCAGTGGCACATCGACCTGGTAGCCTCCTCCTCTGTGCTGGGAGCTGTGGCAGATTGACTTGGAAACCTCCTCCTCTGTGCTCTGAGGTGTGTTTCTTGAAGGCAACAAATGTTGGGTCTTGTTTTTTAATCCAATCTGTAAGTCTGTGTTTTAATTGGAGAATTATAGAAAAGTATATACTAATTTCTTTCATTGTGTTGTTTTTCTAATGTTTCTTTCCCAATTCTCAGTAGTTTATCTACTCTTCCTTTTCTGTGTACAGGATTCTTTTAAAGTATCTTTTGTAATGCAAGTGTAGTGGCCAAGTTTCTTTAGTTTATGCTTGTCTTTGTAGGCCTTTATTTTTCCTTCAGTTGTGAAGGATAACTTTGTTGGATACAGTAATCTTGTTAGAGTGGTATTTTCTTTGGGGGCTTTTAATAAATCATTCAATGGGCTCCTTGCCTTTAGAATATCTGCAGAGAAGTCTTTAGTTATTCTCATGACTTTGGCTCTTTAAATAGCTCAGCATTTCTTTTTTGCAGCTCTCAATATTTTTTCCTTGTTCTGTACTCTTGGCATTTTAACTATGATGTGGGGAGGTCCTTTTCTGATCATGAATGTTTGGAATTCTTCATGACTCCTGTACCTGGATTTGGGAGTTTTTCTGTAATTATTTCATTCAAGAGACTTTCCATGCCAATAGTCTAAACCTCAGTGCCCTCTTCTAACCCCCAGATTTCTAAGTTTGGACTTCTAAACATGTTCCAGAGTTCTTGGATCTTTTGTTCATAATTTCTAAGTTTTTTTCTATCAGTGGCTGAGTGAAATAACTCATCAACTTTATCTTCAAGCCTTGAAATTCTACCTTTTGTTTGAGGCATTCTATTGGTGAGGCTTTGCACCGAGTTTTTTGCTTTTTGTTTTTTTGGTACCAGGAATTGAATTTGGGACCTTGCATTTGCAAGGCAGGTGCCAGAACCACTGAGCTAAATCCCTGATCCTGCACTGAGTTTTAGAAGTCTGAAGTATTGTGCTTTACATATCCAAGATTTGTTAGATTCTTCAGAATCTCTCTTTGTTGAATTATTCCTTCATATTCTGCATTTATTCCTTAATGCATTCAGCTGTATTCCATACATCTTGTCTGTCTGTCTTTCTTTCTTTCTTTCTTTCTTTCTTTCTTTTGGTGTTTTGAGAAAGGGTCTTGCTATGCAGCCAAAATTGGCCTTGAACTCATGGTGATCCTCCTGCCTCAGCCTCCTGAATGCTGGGATTACAGGGATGCACTACCACGCCCGGCACTTCTTGTGTTTCTGTGTTGAGATTTGTGCATCTTTTGGGATGGATATTTCTTCTACTTTTATGTAAGGATCTTCTTAGTGACCAGCCTTCTTTTGAAGGCTTTATCTGCAGTACTTCACAAAGAGGTGAAAACAAACTGCAGTAACAATGACAGCACAATGACAGGAAAGATATTAAAAAACCAATTAAAAGCAACAGTTGTACCACCAATAACAATAGAAAAGAAAGCAGGAATAATATAAATTAAAAGGCTAAAAATGAATTAGTGTTCAAAGTATTTATAATAGATGTGTGATGGCACACAGCTGTAATCCCAGCACTCATGAGGCTAAGCCAGGAGGATTGCCATAAGTTTGAGGCCAGTCTGGGCTACATAATAACTTTGAACTCAGGCTGATCTACACAGTGGGACCTTATCTAAAAAAAAAAGTAAAAATAAAAGCAATAATAAAATAACACTAATAAAATTAGAGGAAGGGCACAATGGGAAAAATGGAAGAAGAAGCAAGATAAAAAGGAAAGGAAGATGAGAAAGAAGGAGATTTAAAAAGCCAATTAAAGGGGTGGAGATTTAGCTCAGTGGTGCCACTGCCTGCCTTGCAAAGGCAAGGTCCTGAGTTTGATCCCTGGGACCAAACCAAACAAGACAAAACAAATAAAAATCCAATTAAAGAATAAAAGCTAAAAAATTAGATAAAAATAACAAAACAAACAAAAGAAAAAGAAATAGAAGACAAGCAAAAAGTGTGTGTGTGGGCAGGGGGAAATGAAATCTAGACTTGATCCCTGATATTGGGGGGAAAATTAGAGGTGGTTGTTTTTTTAAGACTTTTTTAAAGAACCTCATATTGTTTCATGAGTGCAAAGCTTTATCTCTCTAAAGACCACAATTATAGTTTTACAGAGGTTTTCCTTACATATCTGGAAGTCTTTCAATGTCTTCTTATGAAGGCATTAGTAGACCTTACCTCAGCCTTCCCTCTGTCCTTGTCACACAGCCCATAGGGAAGACCTTAAGGCCTGTGTGGGGGATGATGATGGATAAATGCTACCCTGAAACCACTCAGGTGGGTAAGGGCTGGGGACACCTCTTTCCCTGGAGTATGGTGGTTGTCCTGGGTATTCTTAGCAGGGATAGCAAGGGCCCTGCATCTGGAGAGGACAAGACAGGAATCCCAGTCACTTGTAGTTGTATCACCTCTCCTATCTCCCCCTGCAGAGATGCAAAATCAAGAGTGGGAAAGCAGCAACCCTCTGGGGTAAGGGAGGCCTCCCCCAGAAGGGCTGGCCCTGCTCTCATCCTGTGAGAGCTTCATTAAGTTCCACGGGTAATAGCGCCTCCTAGGGGGAAACTCATCAACTAACTACAGCTCAAGGGAAAAGCAAAGGGCTGGAACACATCCCCTAGAGTGCAAACAGGAGGGATGAGGTGCTCTGAAGCCCTACTGCCCACATTCTGCCCTCTTGATTCTCCCTGTAGGACATAAGCCCCAGACCAACAGGAAGACAGAATGATTCTGCCCCCAAGGAGGAGACCAACACCTTGCCTCAGGAGGAAGGGCAGGTGAGGTCCCAGGGGAGGAAGCTACCAGCCCCATTCTTACTGAGCAAGGGTGCAGAGACCCCAGGCTGGTAGGTAAGGATGCCCTGAAGCCTTCACTGGCACATCCCTAGCCCAGGTCCTCCCCAGAAACCATGGACCACTTCGGGGTGGGGAGAGTGAGGCACAGAGGCAGTGATGGTAGTAGGAGCTTAAGCTTAACCCCAGGACCGCTAGTTCAAGCTGTCATCACAGTGGAGCAGGGATCCTTTGTGGAGCTGAAAGGCAGCAGATCTGGTGTGAGCAGGGAGTAGATCTAAATCCTGGCCTCCCTTGACTTCTCATGGAGGGCCTCAGTTTCCCCCCTGTCTGCACAACATAGAACCAGCCCCATCTTATCGCTGTGTCCCTCTGTTCCATTATAGGAAAAGCAAAAGGTCCAACAGGAAGTTGCTGAATATCCATCTGGTAAGACTGCTTGCTCAAACCTGCTGCAAAGGTACGGCCCTCCTCCCTCATCTCAAATACACAGCATCCCCTCCTAACCCTTCCAGACCTTCAGAGCAGAGGCACAAAACTCAGGTAGCCTTGACCTTTTTGAATATGCTGCCTGTGTTCTCTGGCCTCCTCCCTGGGTTGGCAGGAACTTGGCCGCTCCCCCAGCACGCTGCACACATACCCTCTGTGCAGGACTGATTGTCCCAAAATTCAGAGGGCATCTGGGCCTGGGTGAAGGTTCCTTCCAGCAAGAGACCCAAACCTCTCACCCTTTTTGTGTGTTTTAGGGGCTTCTGTGATAGCAAGGAGGAAAGGCTATGGGGCTGGGCCCCTCAGCTCCTGCGAAAGGAAAGTTCTGGGAGGGCTGGTTTCCTGCCCCTGACACTCCCAAGATGCAGAGCCTTGAATGAGAAGGGATCTAATAAACCCTGGAGTTCCTGCCTCTACTGGTCCAGTGCCTCCTTTCAGGGGCCCCACAGCTGCTCAAACAAGCCCCATCTGCCTGCATCTGCACATTCTCGACAGCTCCAGGGACACTGCTTCCTGCCCAGACTTGTCCCCCTAGTGGACACTCTGCAAGTGGCCCGTGTAGGACCTGGCAACTCTCTGACTCAGTGCCAGGTACCAGGCCATGGCCTAGCATGCTGCAAGCTGGGGAGCTCCCTGTCCCAAGGGCACTTACTAAAGTGGTTATGGAGACCCTAGTTGAGATGCTGCAGGGTTCTTGGGAGAAGAGGCCTTGGGTCGCTTCTGCTCTGTCTGGAGTTCCCTGTCCCAGGCTGTCTCATGAACAGGGAAGCAGATGGTACTTACTCAGCCTTGGGTGCTGTCTCCATGGCAGAACATGCCATGAGGGATGGGGACAGAGATGAAAGAAACTGGTTCTTGCCCTAAGTTGGGTGGACTCCAGGACAACAAGGGTCGTAGGCCCAGAAGTCAGAGGAGGAAGACAGGCATTGACAACCATCTGGTGCAAACTCCTCAGTGGCAAAAGGGCAGCAGAAGCCCAGGGTGGAAGGGAGGGCCCCAGAGTTTGTGCAGTGTAATGGCACAGCGAGGTCTAGAAGCAGGGTCTCTATCTCTCTGCAGCCCACCTTACCTACTTCTCTGCCTCCCTCGTAGTCACACGGGTTGCACCCTCTCCCTAGGCCCCCACAGGCTCATCCCCTAATCTGACCTGGCCACTTAGAAGGTGGAGCCCTGGCCTGCAGCCCCAAGTGTCCTCTAACTCTAGCCAGGCCTGAGAAGCAACTCTACACTACAAGGGGCCTGGACATCCACATCTCTGAGGGGCCAGGAACTAAGACCAATCTTGTCTTCTAGTGACACAGGGAGGTGGCTCACTCCTGGGCTCCCTCCAGGCCTTCCCATGAAACTTCTGACAGAGCCCTGGTGTCAATCCCTGCCTTCCTGATTTCTCCACCTCTCTGGGGTGTCATATAAGAAGTTAGATTACAGATCTGATGCCTGGCTGAGCACTGGCACCTGGTGTGTTGTAGGTGCAGTTGGAGCTGAAACCAGGGCCTCCAGCTGGAGTCCTCCTATTCCCCACCCACCCAGACACCACTGACCCCTCTTGGCAGCCATTCTGAGCCTTCCTCCTGGGCTCTATACCTGGTGTCATCTCCATCACTGCCTGGGGTGGGAAGGGCTGGGGGTGTGGGGCGGGTATGGGGAAGGGCGATGCTGCTGACATTCTCTGCCAATTGACATGTGGATCCCTCCCTTGGGGTCCAGTGGTCGGGTGCTGTGAGGAAAAAACCTTTTACGTATGATCATGTGCTACGGACAGATCAGACGGAGGACTGGGAACAACAAAAACGAGCCCTATTGTTTTAATTTTTTGATCTTGTAAGAACGAGATACCAGCCCAACAAACAGACTGGCCCACTTAAAGTGTTTATACAGAGTCATTCATACCCAAGTGCAAATTTTATTTTTAATTGACTATTTGTCCTTTGGTTAGAAATCCTTTTAAATGTATGACTTAAGTCATGCAGTTACAAACCTTACCCTAGAAAATAGATCAGTCTATCCCTTTGTTTTTTACAGTTGAGAATAGATAAGGTAGGGAATGGGAGACGTCCCTGGGGAGGCTGCTGAAGCCCCAGGACAGGCTGGGGATTCTCCAGTTGCCAGGCTGGAGCTGGCAAAATGGTTCATTGTATATCTAGGTACCAGCTTGGGTGTGAGTGGGGATTTGGTGCCCCCTTTAGCGGTGCAGAGCGCAGAGCTGGTAGGGAGATGGGATCACCAGGACATTAAAGGGCCCATAGTCACTGGGCTGGGGCTGCCCTTCAGGCACTGAGAAGCTGAAGCACTGCAGGAGGCAGGTGAAGAAGAGGAAGAGCTCCATGCGGGCCAGGGGCTCCCCAAGGCATGCGCGACGGCCTGTGGGTGGGGATGGGGTTTGGTTCAGTCAGCCTGGGGCCTGGGCTCCTCCCCTCCAAGGCACCCTGGGAAGGGGACAGAGGGCCAGGAACCTGAAAGCACCTGCTGAGAATGGCATGAAGGCCTCGTGCTTCACAAAGTGGCCCTCAGTGTCCAGGAAGTGTTCGGGGTGGAAGCGGAAGGGCTTCTCCCAGACGGTCTCATCCTTCAGCACAGATGACAGGTTGGCAATGATCATTGTCCCCTGGTAGGAGGTGCCGAACGTGAAGGTGGAGACCCAGAATCTTGCCACTAAGCATGCATAAGCACTCTCTACCTGACTCACACTTGGACACTTTCAATTAACCATTAACCCCAGAAGCTCTTGGCACCCTCTCTGATCCCATGGCAGGGCCAGGTCATAAGGTTCCCGTAGGTGCTCATGCTGTCATCTCTGTGTGTACTATCTCCTCCAACACCACGTGCCTCGTTCTAGTTTTTATTCCACCACCCCAGAGGTTCTGCAGGGAGAGGGTGCCACTGTCTGGCTCAGCATCCCGCACTCCCAGCCTGGGCCTGGCCCCACTTATGGAATCCAGGATCAGAAGCCTGGGTGCTGCCTGGCCTCACTTGGGAGTGGCCATGCTGGGGAAGGAGGGCCCAGGCCTACCTTGGGGATGAGGAAGCCCTGCACCTCAGTGTCACGGAGCGTCATGTGGGGCAAACCCAATGGAGCAATGTCCCCAAAGCGCTGCACCTCGTGAATCACGGCGTTGGTGAAGGGCAGGCGGGCCTGGTCCCCCATCTCTGGGCGCCGCCCCTGCCCGATCACTTCATCGATCTCCTGGTGCACTTGGCCTGGACAGACAAGCACCCCCCCCAGGCAGGTCAGTCCCTGGAGACTGCGCCCCAACCCTTTCCACCCTCGTGTTAAGGGCTGCAACCAGGCAGGGAGAGCGTCAGGCTTATAGGAGCTGATGAAGCCTGTGCTTGGAGCTGTAGGGGTCCCAACTCAGCTCAGGGACCCTGCCACTATTTCTCCTCCCTCATTCTCCCATCCAGTCCCATCTGGGCTCACGCTGCACATCCGGGTGCAGGATCATGAGCAGCAGGGCCCAGGCCAGCGTGGTCGAAGTGGTCATCATCCCTGCTGTGAACAGGTCACCCATAACCATGTGCAGGTTCCCGTTATGGAAGGTGCTCGTAGGGTTCCCCTTGGCCTGGGGCAGGCAAGAGAGGGTGGGGTCAGGGGGAAGAGGGAGGAAGCCCCACAATGACCCCTGTTCTGCACCCCTCAGCCCAGATGCTGGGTCACTGGGAGGTGCCCAGCACCGCCCTTGCCTCACGCCTCATAGGACTCCCAGCTTGGAGCCCTCAGTCCCTCCTCTGACAGCCCCCTCTCGCCTTCTCCATCTCGGTCAGGAAGGTGTCAGTCAGGTCTCGGGGTGGCTGGGCTGGGTCCCAGGCCATCCTGTACTCGGTCAGCAGCTCGTCCAGCAGATCCACGAAGGCCTTATGCCCAGGGAAGACCTTGCCCGGCAGGCCTGGGATGCGCAGGAGGATGGGGACCGAGTTCAGCACCTGTGACAACACAGAGGGGGCCTGGGTCCTTCCTGAAATAAGTGCTCACCTGGACCAGCCTCAGGCCCCAGCCTCCTCAGGTGGATCCAGGGCCTGCCTGTGCCTGCTGGTGGCCTGCGCCCTCCCCAGTGCCTCTCCTGGCCTGGGCTGCCAGAAGCAACATCATACCCTGGAAATCTCATGAGTGTCAGTAGCTCCCGATGTGGACAGGAGATGCAGACAGCCCTCTTGAGCGCCCAGACCTGGGGCCACCTCTCCCACTCTTGTCTGACACTTGCCACCTCCAGGCCTTTCCTCCTCCAGCAACCTCTCCCAGAATGCCTTCTCCCCATTGCCCCTGCATGCAAATCTGCCTCAGAGGCCCCAGTGCGGGGGCCTCCCCTGACCAGCCTCTCCTGTGCCCCTGCACCTTGGGCACAATGCCAGACTCTTCCTTCAACATTTCCTCCAGCAGCTCCAGCAGTCTGCCCAAGTGCGGGTCATCATACTCGAAGCGGCGTCCATAGACGAGAGAGGCCATCACATTGCACGTGGCTTTATTCAAGAGGGCGTTGGGCCTGAAGGGGTGTCCTGAGAACAGGGATGTGGAACAGGAGGTGGCCGTGTCCCTGTGGAAGTCTGCCTCCTTCTTCCCACCCCTTCCTTCTACCCTTCCTTGTTTCCCTGAGCCCATCACTCACCATCCTGGTTGGCAAAGGCGGCACAGAGGCAGGCGGCCTCCTCAGTCACCCGCTGCTCCAGTGACTTTTTGCCCAGGCCAAAGTTGCGCAGGGTGGACACAGTGAAGCGGCGCAGCTCACGCCAGGCGGGTCCGTAGTGTGCCAGGACCATCCCTGGGGGCAGGGGGCACTCGGCCCTGAGACTTCTGCCCCACCACACCGTTGCTTATCTACTCTCCCTTCATGCTGGAATCCCTTTACCCACCTCTACCGCCTGCATTCCCTGGCTTGTCCCTGGACCCACACCCATCTCTTTGTCCCCATCAGACCCTGGACAGTCTATGACTCCTGCTTCCTACTCCCGTGGCCCTCCAGCCCCATTTCTATCTCTGCCCCTGCTTTCATTTACCTTGAGAACGCGGCCCAAGGCCCAGGTGCTCATAGATGGGCATGGGTGGCCGGTCAGCGGTGTCCTCACTGTGGTTCACCAGTGCCTCGCGCACAGCTGCCAGCCCATTGAGTATGACCACTGGCTTCCAGACCAGCTGCAGGCTGAACACATCCCCAAAGCGGCCCCGCAGCTGTAGGCAAAGGGTCAGTGCATTTGTCAACCCAGGCTCTGACCCATGCAGAGCGGGTGATCTTCACTGTATCGTGTGAGGCTCGGGGGAAGCCAATAGAGAACCAGGTTCAAGGAGGAGATTAGTATCCAGATCAGTCCTCAGGAGGCCAGGGGCTCATATCCCCTAAGGGGGAGAAACTCACTTTGGATCAGGCGGGCCAGCTGTTACTAACCAGTCATAAGAAATAGCCCCAGGGTCCATTAGCCTCCTGTTTCACAGATGAGGAAATTGTGGTTCACATGGTGAGCAGTGAGACCTGAGCTCCACGGCTTCACAGGACTGACGCACATCACGGTAGCTCCCTTGGCCTCAGTTTCCCCACTGAATGCTGCTCAGACACTGGTCCTGCCCCTCATTCCCAGGACTGTTCCTCTGATGTCATCAGAAGGGACTTGCAGCCTACATAACTTCTGCTCTACCCAACTGGATCTAGAACCTGCTGCCACATCCCGCCTCACCTCCCGGCCTTCTCCTCCCACACTTGTGCCCGTAGAAGTTTTAGCGTCTCCTCAGGCCTCCAGTGTCCTCCCCAAGAAAGCCTTCAGCCTGCTGCTTCTTGTGGCCCCATCTCCCTGTGGATTCTGTGGCTTCCCCACCAGCCACTGCTGGCTTTTGTGTATGCTTCTGCCACCAATGCTGCTATGGAATGGCAAGTCCTTTACCTTTTGGCAGCACGCCAGCAGGTCCTGGAAGTCCAGCTGCAGCAGGTTGCCCAGCCCGGGCACTGGCATGGGGCCAGGCGGGTAGCGAGCAGCCCAGCGTTGGCGCCGGTGCATCAGGTCCACCAGGAGCAGGAAGACGGCCACGGCCATGGCCACAGGGAACAGTGTATCCCCGCTCAGCAGCCCCATGGCTGCCTGTGGACCACCGGGCTTCTCTGGACACACAGAAGCTGTCACCATTCCAGGGACCTAAGGTCAGGAGGGACATGCCCATCACACCCTGGGCACTGGACCAGCTTGGCCATTCCCTTATACAGGGGCGAAGGCTGCCGTCTGCCCCCTGCCAGGAGCAATGCTGCTCTGTTCACACAGGGTGGAGGGCAGGGCAGGGCGAGTGGAGGCGCAGCTACAGAGGTCCTTGCCTCTTCTCCTGGTCTAGGTGCAGACCCAGGGGAGGGGGGAGGGAGGCGGAGGTGACTGAGGGAGAACTATCCCAGTCTCTTCCTCATACTCCACAGCCAGGAGCATGGCTCGGCTTGACCCTGCCCCTACCTCCCCTGCTAAGCCCACACCCCCTTATGTGGCACAACATCTGTCTCCCACAGAGCATGCTCTTGCTTTTCCCTTGCCTCCCCTGCCTGCTCCTGAATGGCCTTTGCCTCCCATATTTGTCATCCATAGATGGAGGGAGGGAGGCCTTGGTTATCAGAGGGAGCGTGAGAGGGAATACAAGATGAGGTTCTCCATCTGTCAGTCTGTAGTTATGTAGTTGCTATAATGAAATACCCAAAGTATGCTACTTTATAAAGAAAAGAGATTTATTTTGGCTTTGGGTTCTGGAGGTTCAAGGGGTCCCATCTGGTGATGGTCCTCTTGCCAGCAGAATCCTGATGTGTCACATGGCAAGAGACAGCTTGTGTGTGTCTGGACTCTCTCCCTCTTCTTAGAAAGCCACCAGGGTTCAGTCACGGTGCCCTACTCTAATGGCCTCATTTATGCTAATCACTTCCCAAAGGCTTCACCTTTATCTCCACAGTCAGAGTAAGTTTTCGTCCTCACTGTCTTCAGAATGGGGTTAAATTATAACATGTGAAGCCTTAGGGGAGGGGGGCATTCGACCAGATCCATGAAGTAGCCACCAGTCCTTTCAAGGCATACTGCACACGTGACACCTAATCTCACACACACCCTGAGTACATTCTCAGACCTCTCACATGCACCCCCCCAGACCCCAACACCGATTCAAGGTCCTACCAAGCCACATGCCCAGCATTTACACGAGTCACACTCAGGCGCACATATTCCCTTGCACACACACATATACATGCATCACCAGCCTGAGGTCCCTGAGATTGCTGGAGGAGCCTCTCCTATCAGGAGGATGCTCCAGTGAGGCTCTGTATGGAGCCCTCTGCCCACCCAGATTCTTGGGCTCCGGCCTGACCCTGGCAAGTTAAATTCTGGCTGCCTGGAGACAGAAGGGTGTTTCAAGCTCACTAGTTTCCCAAACTCACCAATTGGTGGAGCCCAGAAGGCCCTTTCCCTGCCTGTACACATCCTGCAGCCACTGCTCTCTGGCCTCTGAAGTTTCTGATTAGAAGTCAATACTAATGTTATTGACAAATCTTATGCTCAAGATGAGCTGCTCCCTTCTTGCGCCTTCAAAATTCTGCCTTCTGATAATTACTACATTGAGTGGTGTAGATCTCTTGGAGTTTATCCTACTTGGAGTTCTTTGAACCTCTTACATATTTTATCACAGCTGAATGATTCCCGCAAGCATCACAGGGTAAAGTTTCTCCCAGGAAAGAACCCACAAAGCTTACCTGTTTTTGCATTTTAGAGCCCTCTGTGGTAGAGAACATGCAGGAAGACCCAGTGGTTGGAGCTCTCCAGCTCTTAAGAAGGTTGGGCATAATGGTTCCCAGCCTTTGGCACCCCCAATAGTGGGAACCATGAATGAGAAAGAATCCAGGAAAGGATCCTCACTCTCGAGTTGCTGCTTCTAATGGTCCAGGGCCTTCTTTCAGCGCCTCCACAGCTGCCCAGACAAACCCCATCTGCCTGCGCCCATAGTCTCTCTCCTGACACCTCCAGGGACACTACCTCACCTTAGTGAAGGCCTGTCACCTTAGTGGATACCATGCAGTGGCCATGGGGCCTTGGTGGCCTTCTGACTCAGTGTCAGTTGGCAGACTATGATCCCAGGAGTGCTACGAGCTGGGGAGCCCCCTGTCCTGAGGGGAGTTTTTAAAAATGCTAAAGCAATTGTGGTGATGCACACCTAGAAACCCAGCACTCTAGAAGGGTAAGGCAGGAGGATCACAAGTTTGAGCCCAGCCTGGGCAACTTAGCAACTTAAGATCTGTTTCACTTTATTTTTTAAAGGGCTAGGGATGTAGCTCAGTACAAAGGCACTGAGTTCAATTCTTAGGACAAATGAAACAAAAGGAAACAAAAGGGAAGAGGCCTTAGAGTGGCTTGAGTGTCTGGGGTTCTCTCTCCCAGGATGTTCCCTAAATGCACCAGAAAGTCTGCCAGAGACTCAGGTAGCCTTATGGTCATTAGGAACCCATGAGTACTGCCCACATGGCCCACCCAGAAGTCATCGTGAGGGTGAGGACAGAGGGAAGACAGCAGTTGGTGCCATTAGTAGGGCCTTTAGACAGCAAGGTTCACAGGACCAACACAGGGCACGAAGAAGGAAATCAGGAGTCATCTGGTGTGATCCTCTCTTGGGTAGAAAGGGAAACAGAAGCACAGGGTGGAAGAGATAAGCCCAGGGTCACACAGTGTAGTGGCAGAGCACATCTAGAATCAGGGTGTTGCTTATCTGCTGCCCACTCCACATCCCAAGGCCCTCTCCCTAGGGCAGGTCTGAAATCCATAAACCTCATTTCCTGTGTCTTCCAACCTTGTGGGACCTGCCCGACCCAGTCATTGGGAGGACATCATCCAGACAATTGTCCTCCTCTAACTCCAGCCTGGACTGAAATTCACCTTAACACTCACAGGGGCCTGGATACTGCATCCCTGAGGGGCTGGGACAGGACCAGTCATGCTTTCTGGTGACTGAGAGGCTCAGGGAAGGGGCTCCCTCATGGGCTCCATCAGCTGGCCTCTAGTATGAGATGGACTCTGTGGTACCTGAAGTGCAGGCATCCAGGGTAAGTGAGCCCCTAGGCACAAAAGGGCAAACTCAGCAGCTGGGATGCAAATCCTGTACCTCATAAAGTCTTACTTGGACCGTGCCTAGCTCCTGGGAGACATCCTGCATGCCCTGGGATCATCCTGCCTCATAAAAGTCTTTATATTTGAGCCTCAATCCATGCTAAACAGGTCATACTAGCAATGTGATGTACAGTTGGGTCACTGGGTCTAGGGGTGCTGAAGGCTCAGTAACTAATGTCAGGCACAGTGGTGCTCCATGCCTATAAAGACCAAACCTCAGTACAATCTGTGGGCATCAAGGGTGAGTTGCCACTCTGTCTGTACATACTTCATGCATGTTTTCACACACTGTGCTGGGGGAATTAAGCAGCATCTGTATGACTTCACTGGAAGAGGACACATAGACGCCATACTGTCTCTCCAGGAGACCTGTCCTGTGGGCCCTATAGAACCTTAATGGCTTCCTGACTTGGTGATGTCATCTCTTGCTCCTGCACAGGCTCTTGCCAGTGTGACCACATCCACTATGAGGTTCTCACTGGAGCCAAGGTGATGCGGACAGCATGTTCTTGAACTTTCAGAACTAGAAAGTAGCTTGTGTCACAACAAACAAGCTAACAAACCTGGCACACTATGGATTGACTCTCCCCTTCAAAACTCATGCTGAGATTGGTCATTGTAAAAGTATTAGGAGGTTGGACTTGAGGCTGGGAGGTAGCTCAGTCTTAGAACACTTCCCTTGCATTCATGAGGACCCAGGTTCAATCTCCAGCATGACAAACACATAAGTAAATATTTTTTTAAATCTCAGCAGCATTATATGTGGTGGTCATGGTGGCACACATCTGCAATCTCAACTGCTTGGGAGGCTGAGGCAGGAGGAAAACAAGTTCGAACCCAGCCTAGGCAATTTAGTGAGACTCTGTCTCAAAAAGGGGGGCTGGTGACTGCTAGGAGTGTGGAATCCAAGAGTTCTCACACCACCGCCAGCAGATACAGTTGATTTTTGGCCAATCTGACTGGGGCCGAAGAGGAATGAGTCACATTGTGGCTGCTCTCCAGGCAAAAAGATGTAAGCACATACACCTATGGGGAACCTGAGCTTGACCACCCTGGAAGACAGAAACTATGGCTCAGGCCATACAGATGCCTGAGGACTCTGAGACCTGCGGAGTGGGCACCTCAGGCCTTTGCTCCTGAGCAGGTTAGGGGTGCCCACCCTTCAGGTTGTATGAGTCACACTGAGTGAAGAAGAGTTGCCATGGGTTGCATATAAAATATATAGTATATTTAATGTGCATATGTAATCAGATTTCCTTTATTTTTACTATTTTTATAGTAACATGTTTAAAGGGGTAACATAAACATCAAGATATTTACCCATGTTTGTGTGAAACAGCTGCATCAATGTCTAGATCAATGGAAGTGGTTGCAATTCTTAAGGACTTCTCAGCTGCTTGTCACATACTTCTGCTCTAACTTCATTCTTCGTGTATTTTATTCTTGCTGTTCTCATATCTTCCCCCTGCAAGGCTTTCTCTCCAAACCAGTCTCCTTTTCCTAAGGTTCTAAGAAAGACTGGGTCTTCACTTGGTGACTCTTATTTTTTATTTTATTTTTTATTTTTTGGTACCGGGGCTTGAACTCAGGTCCTTGCACTTTCGAGTCAGGCAGCAGAACCAATGAGCTAAATCTCCAGCCCCACTTGGTGACTCTTCATGACTCACATTTACCATTCCTTTGCTGAGGATAAACAAAGTGTCTCTTCTTGCACCTTGCCTGATAATGTATTCTCCATTTGTCACTGTGGGTGTCTTCAAGGACATCAGCGAGCTTGCTAAGGATCTCTTCAGGAAGGCTCTGGACTGTTGGAATGTGGTCTGTGAATGTCTCTGCTACAATGGCGAGACAACCACTCTCTTTCTGATTACTCTGCTATCACCCTCGTGTGTTTCATTCTTGAAAATAGTTGGTCACAAATGGACATAACAGCCAAAAAGCGATAACGTGAGCAAGGCATGAAAGGGAAGGGGAGGCGTGACTGTGAAATGGGGGCTATTTTTCTCTGTCAAGAAAGA